AAAACAAACAATCACAAGATTATGTTAATTGCCCAGGACAGAAGTGTTGCTTAGTTGAGTTGGGGCAGTGATATTTTGAATGGAATGAGGAATCAGATGTCAGGGCCATTTTAGAAATGTTAAAGCTTAAACATGGAGACAGACTGGATGTAAAGACTCTGGAGAAAAAGAGAATGACTCTCGGGATTTTTAGCTCTCTCAGCTAGAAATTTTAGTACCAATAAATAAATAGGAGAGTTAGGAATAATAGTATAATTTACTTTTAGCTCTTTGTTTCATGTTGCTTTATTTGTGTTTTGGTTTGCATGTAAGGAAAAAATAATGAAATAAAAATTTTCATATATCTTGTTTGTATTGTGGGCCACAGAGCAGGAGGAGGACATATTGAGTATTTTTAAGACTATATAAAAAACTGATAATTCTCTTACATGTTATTCTATAAATGTCAATACAGATTAAAATGGTGAGCAAAAGAAACCAGTCCCAGAAGTATACACTGATGTATACTTTACAAATTGATTTTACTTACATGAAGATAAAACTTAAGCAAACATATTCTATGCCGATAGAAGGCAGAGTAGTTGTCACTCTTGTTGGGGAGGCTGAAAAAGTTTGAGGAAAGATGCCAAAGTGCTGGTTATGTTCTTTATTTTTAATTGACTGATGGTGTCATGATGAATTCAGTTTATAAAAATTCAACAAGCTAGACAGTTACAATCTGTCAACTTTTCTTCCTGTATTTTCTCCTTCAGTTAAAATATTTACATTTAAAAATATATATATATTTTTTAAGATTCATGCATTTACAGTGGTACTGGTCATCAGTATTCTAGGGTTTAGGTAGCAATTCAGTTAGCTTAGAACATGGGTATTGAAAGGTTATCAATCCTAAAGATGCCATAAATTTTTCATGTTCAATTGCCGTTATCACTAAATAGTTAATGCTCCAAAAGAGTCACCACATTTGTGAATAGTATTAAGAGACATTTCTTTCACCAAATAATTATTAGTTTTTGGTCTTCACTGTGGCTTTTCTAGTTTGGTAATAATTGATGTGTAACGTTTGAATATCATCAGCTCATCATCACCTTAAAAAGGTTGCAAACCAAGGTGCACACCCACATTTGCTTTATTCTTGAATTTGTCTTCATACAACACTTGAAAATGTACTTAGTGGCTAGAGAGGAACAGAAGTGACTAAGTGGATTGTCCCTAATCTTGTCCACAGGCATAATAATGCCTGCACAGAAGACCAAGAAGCCTGTTAATATCTTCAAGCCACAATGTTTCTATGGGTGCTATTATACTATTGTTCTTTAGTTTGTTCTGATATTAGTCTTAATTATGCTTTAAGCCTTTGTTTTTCATATGTGTGTAAAAGAATCCCCTGATTAAGTTGTTGAAAATGCAGATTTTCAATCCCATGCCGAAGAATAAGATTGTAGAGGACTGAATTTCAATGTTTTTATTGTGGTGCCCAGAATCTAATCCAGGGTCTTGGGCATCCTAGTCAAGTGCTTGACCACTGAGCTGCATTCTCAGCCCCTAATTTGCATTTTTTAAAAAAGTTTCATTTGTTCTTTTTAGTTATACATAACAATAGAGTCTATTTTGACATATTTATACAAACATGGAGTATATCTCAATTTTCATTTTTCAAGCATTGCAGATGATTCAGTAGCCTGAATTGTGAGAAGCTCTGTATTTAGCACACCATCACTGGGTCATAGCTATTCAGAATGCTGATATTTTGACTATGCATTTGAAGGCAGTTCTCGATTGGGGATTTTTTGTTGTGATTGTTATTATTTATTATAAGACTGGTAGCACATGACTGGTCATCCATATTACAGAGTTTAAGTTGTTACTGAGTGTGGTGGAATTGAGAAAGCAAATGAAGAATATTTAAAAGAGTGTAACTAAGAGTTCGAAGCTTTTACTAATTCCTATCATGAATCACAAAACATATTACTTGGACAAAGCTGAAATGACGGATCGACCTGTTATTACTTTGGGCAGGCACTCCTTAAACTACTGAAGTTTATGAGTAAATTTTACAACCCTGGAATTCTGAAGCTATTTCTGGTGCATGTAGTTTCATGTCATCTTTATGGAAATAAAAAAGATCTGCATCCCACACCCCCATCATTTTTGTTTGTGAAGGTTTAGATAAAAGAATGAGATGTAAGAGATTCTGCCCACATATTACCTCTTTGCTTCACCACCTGTTTTGCTGGAAATAGTTAAGGTGAGGCCCAGTTAGTATCTCAATAACCACTTTCCCCTTAGGCATTAATTCACAAAGCCACATAGTAAATATGTAGGAGGAAAAAAAATCATTTTCTACATTGGAGTACTTCTTCTTCTTTCTTCTTGTTTTTCCTTAATACATTTCTAGGAACTTATCTAAAGCACTGGGCTGAGTATTTCCTGTCAAGTGAACTTTCCGTCTTCAAAACTTCTAATTCTTTTTGTGACCTTGCCAATGATGATTATAGATTAGACAGAGAAAGTGAGCTCAGATATCTATTACCATCGTCTATTTTTAGACTAGGCTTTAAAAACTGCTTTTCATCCTGTAGTGTTGACCATGGCTACAGTTTTGCTTCTTAGTTTGCAAAGGTTAGGGTTGGCCGAGATTGCTGTATGGAGTTTGCAGTTATGAGTGCTTCTCCAAACCTCTGTCACCCTCTGACATCTTAACTTTAAGGTCTCTTGCTGAAGAAGCAACAGGAGAAATTAGAAAAACTGTCCCTCTTGACCATTATTTTAGGATACTGACTTTATTTAAAAATAAAAATAAATACAAAGAGTAAAAAATGATGGCGTTAAACTGGATTCCAATTCTTTAAAAAGTCTGTTGATGTTTTGACAGATAAACATGCTTCAGGTATCTTCTTTTTTTATGGTCTTTATCATTTTGATAGGGTTAGGATGTGTTACAGTATATCCCCATTGAGAGTCCTAAGCTGGCTGAGAAGATAGTTTTATCATGGATTGACACATGTCCCTTTATTTTGATGCTATTTTTCCTATCTGGTTCCTTCCAAGGAACTCTTTGCTTCCTCTTCTTTGTGTGGTCTAAGAAAACCTGTCCTCCTTCTTCCTCAGAGATTCAAATAAGCATCAAGCCTCAAGGGGCAATTGCCCCACCTACTATTTGACCTAATTTGTATGTAATGGTCTGAGTGACTGAGCTACTAGTCATGGGGTAGTGTATCTGCTTGTTTCCCATTACCTTGCTTTTAAAATTTGCATTTGACTCACTTTCATAGTCCAAATTTGCAGGTTAGGGCTCAACTCCTTATCAAAGTCAAATTACTTTTTGATGGACAGTTTCCTAGCGTTTAGAGAGCACTTATTTGTTGAAGGAATGGCATACCTCCCCTTGCCTGCAGAGTTTTAATATTCTACATGGAATTTTCTTGCCTTTGATTTTTCCTAATATTTCTGGGAAAGTGATAAGAGCATTGGCCCATGTGAGAAAGAACCAGCCCCATGGCATGGAGGGGCTGTATATAATTTTTTCTTACGTTTAATCTGAAGTATTAATTGAATATTCTAAAATTACGTATATTTACTTGTACTCCAGAAGGGAAAACATGGTCTTTTTTTATAATCTTCTGCCATCTGCCATTCTAAATGTGTAGTTTTATTTCTGGTGCAGTCCTGAGCACTGGAGATGTTGCAGAAACACGGCCAAGAAAAAGGAGCAACCATCTCCTGGTGGCAGATATAGAAGAATCTCTTTTTGTCTTTCATGGTCCTGTAGGGAAATATAAGCATCAAGTTGGAAACTGAAACAACTGCCTATTTCTCTAAAATATCCAACGTGTGACTAGATATGGCCCATACCCATGTCAGACTATTTACAAACGAAGATCCCTAGTTCCACTGTAGGTGTGCTGATTATGGCTCTTGGGGGAGGAGGGTCAGGACTCTGTTTTTTCACCAGGCAAAGTGGTTCTCACTATGGAGACCCTTGACCAATGACCTCCAGACTGGAAAATTTAATAAATGACAGTTTTGAATGCTGCTATTCCATTTGCAGATATTCCTACTTTCATTTTTTTAAATGCACAATTTAAAAGAATCTGATGACTGTATAGAAGAACTATGAGTAGTATTTAAAAAATTAAGTGAAGGGCATTGATTTTCTTACTAGATGGCCATAGTTGTTGAAGCACAAGGTATATTAAAAATAAAATTTTACTTTGAGAACTAATAATTCGGAAGCCATTATTTCTGTTTTTCCTTTGCTTTCACTTCTTGTGTTTTATTTGTGTGAACCTAGGTGCCACTTTCTCTCTCCCTCTGTCACCTCTTTTGCTCATTTTCTTCTTACTTTCTTTCCCTTCCCTCCTTTTCTCCAAAACTCCATGTGCAGCTCCTCATTCCATAGCAATCCATACCTCCTGATCTCCTTGTTCCCCAGGAACAAGATATCTTCCAAAGAACATTGCTGAACTCAGATGACTCTAGCAAGGTGAAGATCTTGCTCTGGTACTTAGTAGCTGTGTGACGTGGTTATATTGTACATGTCTCAGTTCTTGTTGCTTCAATACTAAAATAAAGTACTTCCCTTACAGCAATCCTGTGGAGTTTAAATAGACTAAAGTATGCACAGAGCTTAACACAGCTTCTAGTAGCCATCCCTTAGTTATTGGTTTTTGCCCTTATTAATTAAAATGACCTTGTAAGAAAGAACGTGTTAAACAAAAAAGTCAAGTCCTTGAGTTAGGAGACCTTCACTATTAATACAGTTGCTTTCCATTGCTAGATCCTGAAGATAGGATCCTTGCCCTCGAGGTGTTTATAGTCTTGTAGGAAAAGATAGATGCATCATTCCACCCATAAACTACAGTGTGTACAATGCTGTAAGATGGTAAAGGATTTGGTGGAATCACTGAAGAAAGAATGTGGCAAGATATATTAATAACAACAAGTTATGAATGAAGAATCTCATTTTTGTTTCCTCATTCGTGTTTACTGCCCCATAGTTGACACTCCAGATCCCTATGTGGAACTTTTCATCTCCACGACCCCTGACGGCAGGAAGAGAACAAGACACTTCAATAATGACATCAACCCTGTGTGGAATGAGACCTTTGAATTTATTTTGGATCCTAATCAGGAAAATATTTTGGAGGTAGGTAAATCATCTGGGGGTTCTTAGAAGGCCATCCTTCATGTAGAGAGACATGCTTCAGTTTGTTCTCCTGTTCCCTTCTTTAGCCTCAGTTAAGTGATGGGACTCAAGCTGGCAGCAGGGTAGACCACCTTCTAGAAGTGCCATCAAGTCTTATGAGCATCCAGTGGGGAAATTCAAGATGCTGAATGAGGGTGGGGAGACTTCTATCCTTCTCCCATACTTGGGAGAAAATTTATTTTCTGTTATCAGGAAGGGAATTCTTTGTACGTACAACAGAATAAAGATATTTCAATAGCCTTTAAAATAAGATAGATTTTCCACCAAAGAAAATTATGTTGATTTTTAAAAAATGTTCCTTTCTCATTTCAAAATAGGGAATTAAGTTTCATTTTTGAAAACATTACAATTTAATGGAACAACTAGGAATATATAAAAAATCTTTGTTATTTTATCAGAAAATATAGTATTCAGAAGAAGAAGAAAGTATTGTTAGAAGTTAATCTTGAGGACCTCAGGGGACTGAGGGCATGGCTCAGTGACAGAGTTTTTGCCTCGAATGGGATGGGCCAGGGCTCGGGTTCAATCCCTAGAACTGGAAAAGAAAGAGAGGAGGACCTCAAGGGACAGTTAACTGTCATTTGAAAACTTTCATTTCCTATAAACATCAGTAGAGATTTTAGGCATAATTTCCAAAGATCCCCGGGAAACTTTATGTGTTCTATCTTTTGTTTTATAGGTCACGTTAATGGATGCCAATTATGTCATGGATGAAACTCTAGGAACAGCAACATTTCCTATATCTTCCATGAAAGTGGGAGAGAAAAAAGAAGTTCCTTTTATTTTCAACCAAGTATGTAATGCAGCAGAATTATTTTTAAACCTCATGTTAGATAAAAAAAATTTATTTATTTTAGAAATCTGGGTTAGTGCTTTTAAAATTGTATTTATTTATTTATAGAATTTTTAGGTTTTTTTTTTTTAAACTTTTTAGTTCCTGTCCGAAACTTTTCTTATTCTGATACTTATAAATGTTGGTTGAGGTACTACTGTAAACGTTACTTAGACATTATTATGGTTTGGCTATGGAATTCCCCACAAAGGCTCATACATTATTGAGGGCTTGGTCCCTCATGCAGCAATGTCCAGAAATGGGAATTTGGGGATGTATTTGGATCATGAGTGCTGTGACCTCTTTAATGGATTAATCCACGGAGGGATTCATTGTTGAATGGATTATTGGGAGGTGGTAGAAGCTACAGGAGATAGGACCTAGTTGGAGGGAGTGGATACTTGGGGGTGTGTTCTTGGGGAGGCCCTTTCCTCTCTCTCTGCTTCTTGGCTGCCATCATGTGAGAAGCTTTCCTCTGCCATAGCCCTCTGCCATGATGTTCTGCCTCTCAAGCCCAAAGCATTGGAACTGGCAGAGCATGGACTAAAACCTCTTTGCTCCTTTAAGTTGTTTTCTCAGATGTTTTATAACAGCAATGAAAACCTAACATAGGCAATAATCTCTTTGCTTGTTCAAACAATAACATCAAGATTAATCAATATTTTGAACTACATTGCTGGGCCTATGCAAATCATTTGGGATGATAAAGGGAGGCACAAAATTTGAGAGGAATAACAATGAGTCAAAGAGAGAGAGAGAGACAGGAAGAGAGAGAGAGGAAGGAGGAGAAAATGACTGAGAACAAGTAGCACAAGAACTCAAAGAAAAATGTTGGAAAACCCAAACTCTTCTAAAATTACTTATTACTCTATTATATGTGTATTTACTATTATTATAAACACATAAATTTGCTATTTACATATATTACAACAAAGTAATCCTATTTGGAGGGATAGTTGTGTCTCAAATAATTCTAAAATAATTAGGACCAAAGAAGTGGAGCATCTGAAAGGATAGTGTTCCAGATTATTGTTATCTTTGTATTTCCAGGTTTGCTAGATTTAAAAAATTTTTATAGTTATTTATGAATAATAAAACCTTAGGATAATTATTTATACGGAAAAAACTCACTGGGTTTTTAATTCTATCAGAAACTAACTTGGGAATTTATAGTGAGAAATGAAACTTGTGGGTAGACCAGCATGCGGAATGTGAAAGGCTGGTGAACATGTCGAGGTCTTCTTGTTGGAAGAGACACTGGCTTTGGTCGGCCTTGGACTGACGGCAGGTGCTTCATCCACTCGGCAAAACCTGCCTGTCCCTTCACCTCACCTCCTCCATGTTGCTTCCTGTTACCACACCAGGTGGCCCATCCCCACTTCATTCCCCATGGTAATCATCTGTGGTGTTCACTGGGACTCAAGTTTCCATCTTCCTGCTGTAAATTAACATCCGATAGGTCAGGAAACCTGAAAGGCTGGGTACACATGCCTAGAGTTAATATGTGGCTTACGTTTATGGAATAAATGGGGGCCTGTTCAGGAACCACCTGAAGTCCAGAGGGGTCTTCCCTCACCCTGCAGGCTGGTCACCCAGGTACTGTGAGGACATGCTACTACTCTACCTTTCTGTAACTCCTGTGACTTGCCAAGAGGTACACTCCTCACATTCCTGCTGTCACTTTTAAAGCCATTTCATTGACTCATTTCATAAACATTTGGTAAAGACCTCCCATGTACCCGCCATTGTGTTTGTGCGAGGAATGGAAACAACAATGTATAGGAAGTTCTTCCTTTAGTTGTCCTCATCTGGGGTGGAAGTGAAAGTAAGGGTGGAAAATGAGAAGTCCCCGAGAGGAGGCCCACCACACGTGGTAAAAACAATTTACCAAGCAGTGAAACAGATATCGGTAAGGTGTGTATGGAGTGCAGTGAGGAGACAGAAAAAGAAAGAGCATGCAGTGTGGGGAGGCCCAGGGTGGCTGCATATTAGTGGATGGTTTTGAACAGGTAAACAGGGAACCTGAAGGTTAACACTTTAATACAGCCTATTTGTTTAAATCACATTTCTGTCACTCATCCTGGGAAATTAGTTAACTCCTCTGTACCTCACTTACTCTTCTGTAAAATGGAGATAATATCTTATAGGGGAGTCATTACTAAAATTGTTACTTAATAGTCATTCAATAAGTTAAATTTATTTATATGTAATATATACATATAATGATATGTGAATATTAATAAGAATGTAATTATAATTTGATAAAATAAATTATGTGAAATATAACTATATATTTTTATATATTTTTTAAAATTTTGGCCACTCTTTTTTTTCCAAGTCTCCAAAAAATATGGAACTCTTCACAAATTTGCATGTCACCCTTGCACAGACTATATAGTTTTAAATAGTTATATATTAACTATGTAGTCATATATAATCCCTTCCTAGGTTTATTTAGTACTTGTCACTATCACAATTTAGAAGAAGTATCTTTTACTTACTGAGCTTGCTTTTCATCTGTTTCACTAAACAGAATGTTAGTTCCACGACAACAGGGATTCTTACCTGTTCACTTCATGCCTATGGAGTGTCTGCCAAATATTGGATGCTTACTAGTGTTTGTAAAATACATGAATGAAGGTGCTGTCATCATTCTCACTGCACACATTGCCCATACTATACATTTGGCACTTAAAATTATCATACATAAGCCCTGAGCACTACTTAATGATATGCTAAGTGTTTGGGAGTCCACTATTTCTGCAACTTGCTCTTAAATGCATCCAAAATGCAAGATGCATTGATGGGTGACTAGATGGAGATATAGGCACAAGCAAATAGAGCAAAATGCTAATAGCAGGATGTACATGTATTTTATTTAGAGACAGGGTCTCCCTGAGTTGCTTAGTGCCATGCTTTTGCTGAGGCTGGCTTTGGACTTGCAATCTTCCTGCCTCAGCTTCCTGAGCCGCTGGGATTACAGGTGTGTACTACCGTGCTCATTATATATTAAATGTTTATAATAACTGATTACAATATATAAATCCTATATATGCTAGAAGCATACATACATATAGTGCTTAGAACAGTGCCTGGTATAGTATATATTAAGTACTATCTAAATGCTTTTTGCTTTTCTTTACTGTTATTATACCTTGAGAAAAGAATAGGATTGTAGCAGGAAGAGAAGTAGTTATGAGCATTCCAGTCAGAAGAAATTGCAAAAGTGTGGCATCCTGAAAGAAGAAAGCAAGATGGGGCAGGGCCAGTTCAAGGGCTTGGCAGGTCCTCGGTGGGGAACCCAGGAGAAAGAGCACACACGTGGTCACAGGCTGAAATCCGCAGGCCTTACCCATTGCGTGTTGCTAAGGGAAGGTTCTCGGTAAATGTTTGTTGTGGATTTTGTAAGCAAGGTGTAGCCTTTCCAAAGAAATTTTTTACTGTTTTGTACTTCAGTCCACAATGCAAAAACTGATTTGAGAGAAGATATTGTGGAAAAAAAATGTAGTTCCTCTTCTTCTGTCATTTCCTTTGGTTAAGTGTATAAGCCTCAGGCTTTACATAGGCTTTCCACATTCCTGCATTTAAAGTAGCTTACATAATTATTTTCTTTACTGAGCCTGAGAAAATCGTTGGCCGAAGGTCTTTCCTTCATTACTCTGTGCCCAATAGTCCTTTCACATTTGTCTCTGAATGACAGTTCTTTGAGTTGGTGAGCTGTGGTGGTCCTTGGAAAATGATAGACGTATGGAGGCTGAGTGGAGGGACCTGGGGTCTTCCTTCTGTCATGGGGGGTATCCTGTGCAGCCTCCCCAGCTCTGTCCTAAGTGGGCTGTCAATTCAATAACACTCAGAACGGCAGGAGAACAGGTGGTGAGGGCCAATGGGAGAAGAGACACAGGACTCAGTGGTGCTTCTGGCAATCTGGAAGAGAAAAAAGAACACTTGGCTTTAGGGGAGGGAGAACAAATGCTTCAAGCCAAGACGATATTGAAAGTTAATAATACTAAGTCAACAGGGTGATCTCTCTGGCCAGGAGGCAGCTGGAGAATCCACGAGAGCCTCCAAATGGAGATGGCCAATTCCCAGGGGCCTGCTGTCCGCACTTACAGTAAAAACTAGGAATATGGAGATTGGATTCTTATTTTGTCTTTGTTCATAATCTCCCTCCAGATGTTTGAATTGGCATTTGTTTTCCCTGAGTCTTATTTTCATATTCTTTTAAAAAGAAGTTTTAGGATAAATTATTTCTTAGCTTCTTTGGCATTTATAAAATTCCATGTTCCAGAAAAATTACCTTATTTTCATTTGACTCTCTTCACCAAAAAGCTTTTAATTTTTTTCCCATCTTACAGACATGAAAGCTAAATAATAATAATACAAGAATAGGAGTCTTTCATTTACATAGTGTTATGCAACCTCAAATACTGACCTGTCAGCAGCTTGTGTTATTATTATGAAAAGAATGTGAACCTTTATTGTGCTGCTAAAACTTTGCTAAATATTATGAAAGTTGCAAAACCTTCCATTTTCAAAATACTGAAAATTTGTTTGGAAAGTGGATATTCCTCTGTCAACTGATAATGCAATAAGCAGTTCTACAATGTATCTGTTCATTAATTTATTTACTTAAGAAGTTTTTTTTTATTAGACATTTATTATGTTCCAGGCAATATTCTAGGTGAAGAGCAAACAGCAGAGGACATACTAGCAGCATCCTAGTTCCAGGGAAATCACATTCTAATTAGGGAGTATAGAGAGGCAACGATGAGCCAAAGAACCATCACAGGACACCAGCTAGTAAAAAATACTGTGAAGGTTGTGCATCATGGTGCACATTTAAAATCTCAGCAGCTCATGAGGCTGAGGCAAGAGAACTGTGAATGAGTTCAAAGCCAGCCTTAGCAACCTAGCAAGGCCCTATGCAACTCAGTGAGACTCTATCTCTAAATAGAAAAAAA